TTTTTTTTTTTTTTTTTCTAGAAACGTTTCGCGCAAAATCACGACGGGTGTATCAAATATTACATTATCTGTCGAACTGAATCGGTTCTCGCATTGTCTTTGGCATGTCTCTGTCGATTATTATACATTGCTTCACGACAATAATTAGTAATCAATAACGAGAAGCGTTGCGGCAAAGCACCGGGTTGCAACGCGAAGGAAGAACGACGATCAATGGCGCATCACTCGGCTATATTTGCACAAGCTGCATGTCCCTGCGACACAATATCTAACCAATACCTAACAATTATGACACATTTTTCCTAAAAAAAAAAAAAAAAAATAAAAAAATAAAATAAAAAACATATCGCATTACACCGTAATTCGAAACTCATTCGCAATTTTTATACAAGCAACACACCGCGAGATGCGCGCAAATAAATGCGTCATTAATCTTCATATAATCGTCGATCCGCGCTCGAAACGGTGTCCTTCGGCACACGGCAGTGTAATTTATCTTGAAGAACTGTCGATTCTTCGAACCACGATGAAGAGCGATCGATTCGTACACAGCGCGTTTCTAATCCGATATCCAAATTAATTAATTTGTAATATCACATAATTTTGAAGATACAATAACTTTATTTTAGTACAATCAATATTTTTGTTTTCTCGGACGCAGCGAGCGTCCGATAATTGACATAAGCGTGTGATTAAAAATTTCAGGGTTTTTCTCCGGCCTTCGTGCCTAGAAACTAGGACCAACTTCTAGGACGATCGTCCTGTACTTCAAGGAAGCGGAAAACTTACGATCGTATAAATTGCACGTAACAAATGTAAACGTACGTACGAGAATACGACGATATCTTTTCCGCTTCTTCAAGTTACGGAACGGTTAAAAAGTTTTTGTGGGATGTTCATCGTGTTCGAAGATCGCGAAGAACATGCTGTGTGTGTTTGTTTTGGAAAAAATTCGGAGAGAAATAAAACCAACAACGATCCTGGACTTTGTGACTTGTTTCTGCTCTTACGCGATCCCCTCGCCGTTTTTTTTTTATCGTCACACTCGTGATTTTACGTCGGATCGCGCATATATCTCGTGTGATTTTTCCGGATTTACATCTTTGAGCTCAACTCTTTATCTTGTTCCCCCTTCCCCAACCCCCTCCCTAACAAACTTTCCAAGGACGCGAGCCGATTCTGAAAGAATCTCTTGTCTATATTCGCGTTTCTTTTCCCCGAGAGAGAATCGGCGATGGATCGAAATAAAACAAAAAGAGATGTTCTTTCCCCCGTATGTACTACTACATACATTTTTGTTCGCGACGAGTATCACGAGTAGAAAAACGCGCGACAACAGACGACCGAGACCGCAACTATACAAATTTCTCGATGAAAAGGAAGCCAAAGAAAAAATCGTGTACTGACGGCGGTATGTGCGGTATCAAAGATTGTACTAATCTATCGAGATATAGTATATAAATTCTCCTCTTCAAGAAAAAACCCTCAAATCAAACAAGCAGAGAAAGAGATCTTATCTCCTTCTCGTTTTGGATTTGAATTTCGATCGGTTCGATATTTTTTTTCTCACACGTATGATCACAAAGTAAGGAGTAACTTGCACATTTGTAGCACGTGTAAAAATAGGTTCTTCCGTTTCGCGCTAAAAAAGTAGCGGTATATTTAATATTAAAAGCGTAAAATGTGTGTGTGTGTGTGTGTATATATATATATATATTGTATAAAACTCGCAGAATCTCAATCCATCGCCGAATCGATCCCCTGTAGAGAAAAACGATTTTAATGTTTTTTTTTTTTTTTTTTTCCATCGCTTCGTTTCGCTTTTCTCCCTTATAAATACGAGGTCGAGGAGATCGACGGAAAAATAATATGTATAAAAAAAACCACAAACTTTGCGAGCTATTTTTCGAGATAAAATCTTTTATGCGAAAACAAGCTCGCCGATCTCGCGCGGGATCTCGCAACGTGAAGCGACGAGATCCCTCTTTATCCGGTCACGAGGAGGATCTCCTCGGCTCATTTGAGGTCCTCGTCGTCCTCGTTGGCGAGCAGCTCGTCGATATGCTTCTCCCAATCGTTATCGCTGGCGCTGGCGTCTTTCGCGTACGTAGTGCCGCTCCTCTCGTGACCGCCGGTTCCGGTTCCGGTTACTACCTCGTAATCCTTTAGCTCGGCCTCCAATTCACGTTCCCAATCTTCTTCTGCGGAGAGGCACAAGCAGCGTTGTAGCTATTTTGCAGAGAGGTCCACGCGCTCAGGTCGTGTGTTTATGTGTATGTTTGTCTGTGTCTCGGTCTCTGTGTGTGTTTGTGTCGAAATTTGTGTTTCGCGCGCTGAATACGGGAGTGCGTATGACGCGTTTGGGTCGAAATTCACGTGTGTAAAAAGTCTGTGTCGCGCGAGTTTCGTGTGCGTGTAAGAGTGTAAAGAGAAGGGGGGGGGGTTGAGGGATCGAAATTACAAGGACGGGATAAATTAGTAGAATAGAGAAAGACAGAGAGAGAGAGAGAGGACGGAAAGAGAACGATGGAAAACGATGAAAAGGATGAGACTTTTGACATGTTCTCTTTGCGTTGAGAACTTCAATATTCGGTTTGTTAATAAACGCGTTTACAATACAAGAATATGTTAGCAGCCTGAGAAAGAAAGAGTGAGAGATGCAGAAAGAGAGAGACAGAGAGAGACATTACGCGATTATGTCGAGGACGTGATCGCGATCCTGCGCTTTTTTTTTTTTTTCCTATCATCGCGTATTTTTTTATTTCTCGCGGACGACAACGACGACGACAACGATGACGACGTACTTAGGCCTGTTCTACAATACAGCCGTAAGTCGCAAGACATTGACCAATCGCAATCAATTATTCTTTTGTAATTGGTCTGTGATTGGTCAATTTTTTATGACAGTATTGTAGAACAGGCCTTAATCACACGATCGCCCAATTGTACTAGCTAACTCTCTGAAAATTACAGCGAATTGCCAAGGGGAGGGGAATAGCTGGTTAATCACGTTTCGCTTAACGTACTCGTTACAAAAGTGACTGGCTCACAATTACAAAAGTAATTAGTCGGGATATTCGCGACTTAAACGCCTCGGAATGCAATTATCGAAGCGGCGCTGCCGCCGTAGGAATGATACTCGTTGCGCTAAATCAGCGGTGCCCAAACTCTGTGTGTATATATACTCTGTGTGTATGCGTGAGTGTGTGCTACAGAGATAAATAAGATAAACAAACTCTGTAACACAGTTAACATGGTGATAAAAAAATTCAATATTTACTTTCTTTTACAGGACTTTTGTAAAAAAAAAAAAAAAAAAGATAGAATTTAATCGTGACACCTCTAGCTCCGTTTCAATAAACAGTTTATACAAAACTATTCACATTATTACTGTTTTCCTTTATCTATATTACAGCTGTCGCAGTTTAAAATATAGTTTCGATATACCGTTGGACACCACTGCGCCAAATAATTCGTCGTCCAAGCGCGCAATTATCTAACATTGTTGCCCACAATACGCTTTTCTTTTAAACCTGCAGGAATAAACTAGTAGTAATAATAGGCGTTTAACAAACGCGGCCTTTTTCTATATATGTATATATATAAGTAGCTAGTTTTCTTAAATAATACCTTCTTATATTTCTCCTAGTCGTATCGCCCGTCTTTTCTTTTTTTTTTTTTTGTTATTTTTTTTCCCCCTTATTACGCTCCAACAACTAAAACGAGCACGCGGCGGGTTATTTCTAAGACGTAGCCTTAAAAATGTACTTTAAAAAGAAAGATCGACGTTCTTCTCGCGCATGAAAGAGACGTCGTCTTTTTTCTTTTTTTTTGTTTTTTTGTTTTTTTTTTTCTTTACGGAATGACACGCAGGGACGAAATAGTGTGAAAATGCTTCGCGCGAAAATGCTTACGCACGCTCTTCCCGTCCGTTCGATTCGTCCTTACACGCGCCCTCCGTCGAGCCGAGAGAGCGATATTTCGAATCCCCGACAAGGAAAAACCGAAGACCGAGCACCGGGAAAACCGAAAGCCATAATTCAGTTGTCGCCGTTACGTTACATACATCGAACCGAGAACCGGATAATCCGATATTTTCGTACGTCCTCCTGCAAGGATCCACGTTTTCTTCCGCGATAAAGCTGTTGCACTTGAAATTGAAAGCGGAAATAAAACACACACAAATACCGAAAAAAAAAAAGAAAAAAAAACCAACAACAACAACAACAGGTGCGAACGAGAAAACATTATATTATCTCACACGTATTATTTATCTCACGACAATCTATGCCCGTGTTCACGAGTCTTTTATTTTTATCCTCCGCGTTTTTAACCTCAAATACAAATTATAAAGATGAAAAAGTCGCGGACGCGGCGTAGAAAATCGCGAATTAAACGAGACGTTGGTCAAAGCAACGAAATAAATCAGTCGTTTCTCTCAACTAAAAAAACGCAACCTAAAAAATTTATCTCACGCTGCAATATAAAATTCATGACTCTCGCTCTCTACATATGATGTAGAAAATTATTACCATGTAAAAAAAAATATAAAAATATATAAAATTCAAACAAAACATCGAGCAATCTCTCTGAGCGACCCGTTCAACGTTTATACTAATACTGTTTCATCCGTCGACTCGTTTCCCCTGACACCGCTTTTAACGAATTGTCGTTTCGATAATTTACGGGGCGCGCGACTTTACGTCACCGTGAGTTTTGTGTATTTTTCTTTTTCCGCTCGCAGAGATACGTTTGTCTTTTTCTCCCCGATTGGGTGTTGGCAAATGCAATCCTCGTGTGCAAATCCTCGCGAGAGAGGAAGGGACGCATACAAATCGCCCGTCCGTTTTACGTTCCGCAAAATCGTCCGTTCGGAAAACTCGCAACACGTGCGCGCGCGCGCGCGCGCGCGTAATTAATTTATTCCACTTTTTTTTTCCACCTTTCCCCGGTGGACGGGCATGTAAACGGATAGCACCCCGGCCACAGCCGCTTCGCGCGTATATCGGAAGGAGATCGCTGCAACAGCCTACACCACCCACCCACGATAGTGCCGGGCACGAGCGGAATTGCCGGCTCGTTCACCCCCGTAAAACACGTATTGTCATTCAACGAATTTACAGCGACGCGCTGAAAAAAATCCGACCGCCTTCCGGCAATCCGCTCCGCAGGATCCGTTCCCGTGCGATTTGAATCCAGCTATCCTTCTGAACGCTCTTCCGGTGATTTCCTCCCCCGTGCGTGGAGGACGATCTCTATATAATTGTGTTCATACAAAATAACGCCGCGAAGAAGGGGATTCTTCGGGGGGAGGGGGAGAAAGCGATCGGATAAGTATAGCGCGCCGCCGTGTTTATATATACTTTTATTCAGTAATAGTGTATATATTTTTATACATATATTTCTCTTTTTTTTTTCTTCTTATAAGTCACCATTTAATTAATCTCTTACGAAGGTACACCTATGATTAAATTTGTTGTCTGCGCAACGTAATCTCTCGCGTACAATTAACTCGTGTTATTTTCCGACTTATCCGTTTTTTGTTTTTGTTTTTGTTTTTTTTGTATTTTTTTTTAAACATGTGTGTTCGCTCTTGTGTGTGTGTGTGTGTTTCTGTTCTTAATTACATGTTTACAAAGACACGAAGAGAGAATTGAGAACAGACTAGATTAATTGGAATTAATACAGAGAGAGAGAGAGAAAGAGAGAAAGAGAGACAACAGCAAAACGGTCACAGACATATGTAGCCAAGTAGTCATTTTGCTCCGCTCCGCTTGCTCATCCTCGTTACCTCCTTCCTTCTCGTTCCTCGTTCTCTCGCACAACCTCCCTTTTATGGATTATTGCATCTATTTTATTTTTTGTGTATCTTGTATTTTCGCGTAACGTTTCGACGTTTTCTTTTTCTACACGTTTCCTCTCTGTTTTTTGTCCTGCTCTTTTATTTCATCTTCGATTTCCGCGATACAACGGGCTCGAAGTGTTTCCGACCGAGCGTTGGATAAATAATATCCGCACAACTGCAGATATATATTTCTTTGACAGAGATACTGAAAATAAAATATAAAAACAAAAAAAAAAAAAAAAAGAAAAAAAACTAATTAATCTTTCAGGCTCGCAGGATCACGTTTTTCCACACGCTCTTGGCATTTTAAAACATTTTCCCGCGAATGCGCCCAGCTAATACTGTTCTCAGTTTTTTTTTTTTTTTTTTTTTTTTTTTNTTATTATCTACGTCGTTTCACAAATTTCCCGTTATCGTTTCAAGCGCGATCTGAATTATCTCCGAGCTTAACGTCGATTCAGACGGATCGGCTATCGGCGATAATTAACGCGACGACATCGACGACAGTAATAATAACGATGATATTCGCGGTACCTGTACATTATTGTATCACGACACTGCGCCCACCGTTCATCACACACACGCTCGCCGTTTGTTAAACCGCTCTGTTCAGACACACCGCAGCTAATTGCGAGCTTGTATCTCTCGCCGCCTCTATACCGAAACGTTATAACCGTTCCCCGATACCCTATCTACACGCGATTGTGACACCTAGATTACTTTCGACGAACTAAAAGGATCGCAATAAAAAAATACTAGTGTACGCTCTTTTCCCTCTGGAGAAGAGCCAATACATACATATATATATATATATATATTACCTTCCTCTTCGTTGGAATATAAAAGTACCATCAGAGCCCGTTTAAGAAAGAATTCAAAGATTCTCCCGCGCGAAAATAAACTCTGAGATCGCCGTTTAAATTACTTAAGTACTTGGAAAAGTTAACGTGACGCGGTGCAATGTCCATCTCGTCGATTGCGCGCTGTAAATTAAATTAACATTCTCAATGACACAGTTCAATTTCGACGACCGACTACTAATTGCTGTTCTTAAACCAGCTCTATGGGTCTATTTGCGAGCGCGTAATATTTTCGCAATTTGCGACGGGCTCCGCAATTGGCGAAAAAGCCAATTTCCACGATTTCATGCTGACTTCCTTCGTCGATTCGGGCGCCTGACGTTGCGCGTGATCCTTTTGCGACTGGCACGGGATCGCGTCGGCTGCCGACGATCGGAAACGGAACAATATATATATATATATATGTGTATATATATATGTATATATACATATATATTTATATATATATATATATATCGCGAAAGGAGGAGGAACACCAATGTTCGTCTCGTGGGAACGTTTGCGCCGTGCGAACGGCTTCGCGCGATCGAACGTGGCGGACACAGGAGAACGAAATAAACAAGTAGGATAAAACGGGAGAAAGGGTAAGGGAGAGACAGAGAGAAAGAGAGAGAGAAAGAGAGAGAAAGATTCAGGCGAGAAAGGGTTCGGTATCGCAAGAACTGAAATTGTCAGTTTTCGAGAGCGGGAAGCATGTATATCTCTGAGGGGGTGTGCTTTTTGGATAATGGCATTTGGGGGGCACTCTCCTCTTCTTTTAGGCTGTTGACAAAATAGAATGAAAAGCGGTCGTTTAGTCAGAGCGCCCATGTAACATAGACAGAAAGTGAGAGAAAGAGAAAGAGAGAGAGAAAGAAACAGAAAGAGAGAGAGAGAGAGAGACAGACGGTTAAAACGCAAAAACAGAGAAAGAAAGAGAAAATGAAAGAAAAAGACAGAGAGAGAGAAAGAGAGAGAGAGAGAAATAGACGTTCAACATCGACAAACATAACATGTCGGAACGTTGTTGCGTTATTACACTCGGAAACAAGCAAATTTCCTCTAAAGAAAGCGCAGACAAGGAGGATCGTAGGAAACATACAGAGAGTAGTATAGCTACGTAAACAAAAACAAAAAAAAAATAATATAAACGTCTAGCGGTGGTCAAGGTATAACACAGAAAGAGAAGAAAGATTAAGGTCAGGCTTTTCACGGCGGCATTAATTTCATACTCACGAGGAGAGTACTCTTGGACCGTGTCGTGGCACAGATCGAGCTCTCGCATCGATCAGCATGGTGACCCGTTTTGCTGGCGAGATCAATGAATGGTACCGCTCTCTCTCGCGAGCGCGCACAAGAAATGCCGATTTCTCAGCAACAAATTTCTTTATTAGATCAACTAACGCGAATGCAATCTACTTCAAAAAAAAAAAAAAAAAAAAAAATAGAAAACAATGTGTTACGCTTCCCGGGATTAAATTTGTAGAATTTCGCAACGGGGTTCGGTAAAAGACATCGATTTTGTTTTAACTTGCTTAAAATTCAATTATTCGAATCAATTCTTTCCGTTAGAGAAATTGGAATAATTGAAAAATGTCACTGAGAAAATTTCCGTTCGATTGATTATATATTACCCAACAATTATCGTCTGTACCATTCGTTAATCAGCCAGCAAACATAAAGAAAGATATTTTTAACTGCGTAATTAAAAATTCTCGTTGGTGGTCGTAACCAAAAAGCGAAGAATCGGAGGAATGGGCTCTATAAGGTCTCTCTAAATTGCACTCTGTTCCAGCCGGACGACTCAACTTTATAGACTCGATCTGCCGTCGTATAATATCGTTTCCCATTTGGGAGGGAAAATCTCGCGAGAGTCGTAAACGTTTTGGCGATGTCGGTTTCCAGAATCGCTCTCCTCTTCTCGCGCTCGGCTCTCTTTGTAATTGCCGCGATATATCTCTCGTCGTCCTGTCGACGGGGATTATTCCGTGGCAAAAGCTGCCGAGAATTAACGCGTTATCCGCCGGCAGATCTCGTCTCCGACACGACATAGGGACATAGTTAACGACGACCAACGATTAACGACTGACCTTTCGGCGGCTGCATTCCCAGCTTTTTCATCCCTTCTCGGACCTCCTCGAGGTCTGTGTCCGAGACCCTCATGGTATCGGACACGAACTCGTGACCTGGCGAATCGGCGCTGTTACTGCTCGCTGTCGTCCTCGCGTAGTTGGTGGTGGTTTGGCCAGTGGTCATTTGAACTGTTCGGCAAGACAACACTGACGGCTAAACTAGACGGGTAGGGTACGTGTGTGTACGTGTGTGTTTTGAGGAGCGCGTGTGTGTTTATGTACATTGGCGCGTGTGCTTACGTATCTAAATACTAATATAGCGCTAAAACTACCAGAACCTTTGGCACTTCGCACGCAAAACCCACCAGTCATCGTGAACGCAGACGCGCGCCGGACGCGCGGTTTCGTTTCCCCTCCGAAATCAATCGCTTCCAGTTCCAAGAACGCGGGAAGGCGGAGGGGAGATTTTGATCGATTCAAAGCCAACCGCGGAAAGGGGTTTAAATTAATTTAAACTGTTAAACTCGCTGCTCGACACATTAATCGATTTCGATGCGGGCTATTTATTGTAATTATCGAATTAAACACTCAAGTTTCACAACCGCGTCGGAAAGGGCAAAAAGCTTTTAGTCTTGATTTATAATTTAACGGAGATCTATATTTATCGTTTAAATTCCCGTTATGTTTTTCCCGTACGACACACAGTCATGTCGTTTCTCTTCCGTCCAAGTATCGGAAAAAGATTCTCGCGGATATCGCGAAATACCACGCGTATGAATCATGCGCAGGTGCGAAGATATCAGTTCTGCATCAGTTCCGGCGAGATATTCCCGTGATTCTTGGGTCAGACTATATTATCGAGTTTCCCCACACACTTTTCTTTCGATGGATTCAATTTCAACGCGACATGTACTGGAACTGGAGCGAAATCGGATTATAGCTTGGCTAAAGAAGAGACAACGACAACGGGAGTCGTCGGTTCAACGTCGATCGAAAACATCACTGTGTGTGAAATAGAAAGAAATGCGAGAGAACGAGAGAGAGAGAGAAAGAGCGAGCGAGAGAATGGGGATGAATCTCATGGGAGAGATTTCTATATTCACGGAATAATCTCCGGATTGAAGGATATTTCGATCGTGATTTTACTCCGCGATCGATTTCCTGACTTGACCAACGCGAGTATTTCCCTTTATTTCCATTAATTTATCCTCACCGATCGCAATTCCATTGTTTGCACAGCTAAGGGTGGTTAGCCACGGGGCGAATGACTCGCACTTCTCTCTCTTTTTTTCTTTCTCTCTCTCGTTCGTTTCACTCTGACGTTGTAATCCCGAGTGCGAACGTGATTCCATGTACAAAAGCTCACGTACACGACGGAACGTATCGGTACATTCGGTTCGGCGAGATACTTTCAATCCGTTAACTAAACCGCGTTGCGGGATTTAATTCAAACGGAATTCTTTTTTCTCTGTTCCCGAATTTGTAATTGTTAAATCTCGGATTTCGTTATACTTGCCGTAATTTTATAAACAATTTTACGTAATTCAGTGCCAGCACACGCGCGCGCAACATTGCGAATACGCGACGTACTCAAAAATTAATTAGTTATTAATGTTTCATAACGTATCAAATGACATGAAATTAATATCTCACGACATTACATATGCATAGATACATATTGGGGGTATATATCGCGACATCAATTAAATGCTGCAATAACTTCTATGTAAAGTACTCGTAGAAGTTGCGCGACTGACTCGGGGGAATGTTATAATTATGTACTCTGCTTATGTGTGTAAGCGCTTGGATATAAACTTATATCGCGAGAGACATCGCGAATGTCAAGCGTCGTCTTCGTTCACGTGAACTTCGTAAATTAAAACTTGGATCCTTCCTTGTGGACGAATACCCCGGTCTCTTTTTTCCCAGCATCCGGCGCGACATTTGCACAAAAAGAACGCACGCCACTTTCTACAGACACGTCATTTCAAAACTCCCATGCAAAAAGTCCATCGTGGAAACGCTTCTAATCGGAATTGCAAATCAGGCGTAAACGCAGCGCGACGCCGCCGCCGATCTCAAACCCCTCTGTGTCTCGCGTGCTGCATCTTGTAATTTGCATCATCCGACTCGGCGGGGGGTTTATCTCAGCGAGACGTCGAGCCGCGATTACAAAGGGGAAAGCCCCGACACAGACGATTGGAATATTTTCCGATAATAGAGATATTTAAATCAAAATGTGTCTGATCAATTGTCTGAGTTTTGAAAGTAAACTTGAAGCGAATCAATATTTATATTTGGAGTCTATAATTAATTGTGTATTTTTAAGATACTTCAATATCAAAGTCTTTTTCGATAAAATTAATGTTTAAAAATTTTGTATCTGTCTGAAACATCGTGCAGTTAAAATTAATTGCATTTATTTGAATAACTTTCATCTCGGTATTCACAATTGAACAGACTTTATGTTTTTTTTTTTTTCCAACGGCATGTGGGGTTTTCTCCCCCTTTAGCTTTAAATGAAGCTGTGTGTGTGCCGATAATCATCGGTACTATGACAGAACAGGGATGCGCGTCGAGCGACGACACCCCGGAGCGAAACTGGAGAACCTAATCACGTTGCAATGTCAATGCGAGCCGAAGTGGCGCACTACGGAAGCTGATCTATGTAGCAAGGAAAAGAGAGAAAACATCGGCAGCAAGTTACCTTGAGTGTGTTCGATACTATCGGTGGTGCTGGTTTGATTGGGGTTGCTTTCCTCTTGCTGGCTGGCCATCGCGTTCAGCTCGTAACCCTGACGCAGCAAGGACACTCGGTAGAAGTAGTTGCGCCAGAAATTCTCCTCGGATATACTGCCGTGTAAGTATAAACGGGATGAGTAACTCATAAACAACGATGACGACAATGGGAATTTCGACGAAACCAAATTACAGGATTCGAGAGTTACGAAGTAAGCGCTAATTAACGTCGCGTTTCGCATTTGATTAAAGCTGCGAATCAATTTTAATCCGCCTGTCTACATGAACGGATTTGCACACACAATGTATTCGAGAACGGGGATTTCACGTAGCAAGCCACAATAGTGTCGTCGTGATAAGATAACGTTACGTCACAACTTTGACTGACCCTGACATTTACACCGAGGTAGGAATATTTCGAGGAAAAAAAAAAAAAAAAAAAAAAAAAATATTCGACCGAAGCGGCGAGATTAAAATCATTTTAATAAAAAAGAAAGAGAAAATGTGCGAAAAGGTTCAACTGTTAAGTTTCTAATTTTCGTAATTGTTACGAAACTATTATACGAATTTTTTTACCATCTTGTTTTTGCGCGTTTGGCGTATATTTCGAATTAAATTCTACGAACAACGCAACGCATTTTGTTCTCGTCGAGTGTTGCGAGATAATTTAATCGCGTTACATTTCGCAAAATCAAACTGATCCGGAGTCCACTTACAACGTCAGTTAATTAATCAAATTATGTTCTTACAATCGCAATTCTCATTTGTAAATTGTCAACGGTTTAATGACGTACGAAGCATTAATTAATCTTTCACTACACGCTATGTCGCGTGATTACTCTGCAATTTTGTAAAACATAATCGTTTTTTATTGTAAGATACAGTCGCGCTATATAGAATTATTATATATTGTATTATTATTATACTGTATATAATTTGTTAATTTACAAATATCGCGAAATACAAATGTATGTATGTTACTTTTGCGAAGTTACACTATTTCCACATGATACGAGACCTTAATTTTCGTTGCGTAACAACAACGACGATTGGATCAAAGGGAATATAATTGTTCGGGAATGAATTTTCGCGGGAATTATTAAGTTAAATGGAACGAGAATGCGAAATGTTGTGTAGATCGCGCGTTATGACAGAAAATACTTTAATCTACTTACACTTTCGGGACAAGCTCGAACCTCATGGCTTCAAGATTCGGATCCAGGGCGAGGGTGGCTTGTGCCATTGGCTGAATAGCCTCAAAATCCCAGGCGAATTCCACGCCTGGTGGCGGTGCTCTCACGAAATTACGCCGATCCTGAAATCCATAAGAAGACAAGATCCCTCATTTAATCCTGACCAGCTCATCTAAAGCCATACGCTAAATTCATGACGTTAATCTTCTAGAACGACGCATAAATAAACAGTGAAGTGGCCTCCGGGTTATAAATTAATCGGTTAAAGTTCAACTTTCTTGCTTTAAGAGAGAAAGACAGAGAGAAAAATTTTCTCTCCAGAGATAAACGCTACTCAGTTTACAAGTCGAGAAAAAGAATCGCTAAAAACTTTCAAAAAACTAATAATAAACTAATAAACTTTCCGCTTAACGCAAAACAAAATTATACACACAAACCTGTATTTTAAATCCATTTATTTTATATCGCATAAGTAGTTTTAATTTTGTATTCATAAAAATTAAAACCAATCGTGCGCATTAACGAACAATGCCTGTTCAATTTTCGTTCGTAACAAAAATCAATTTGCAACAATGGAATGGAGAAAGTTATATATCGCGGAAACGCCCGAATTTAATTAGTCTTTACAACGCGCGACAATACAAAGGCAATCTGTACAGACAAAGAAACTCCTCCAACATTGAACCCGATATACGCGCGCAGCTGTGCTTGTGGTGTATTTTCGAGAAATTCGCGTTTATTTCGAAAATAAATGGTCGCGTTTACACACAGAAAAACTATAAAAAAAGTTCGCAGGATATTCAAAATATATATTCTTGTACGACATTTTCTACCCCGTATTTTTTTGCGCCGAAAAACGAAAAAACGACTAACGCTCGCAGAAATATCAACTTTTTGTATGTACCTTTTCCAAAAAAAAGGTCTGAGGAAGACGATCTCGCAAAACTCCAGTTCATCAAGAACTGTCACGGGAAATAGTTTTTGTGAAAATCTCAAAGTTCTCTTACGTCACACCGAGATCTCACACACAGAAAAAAAAAGAAAAAAAAAAGAGAAGAAAAAAGAAATACAAAATTCACTCACGGTGGAGAGCGACAGAACTTCCTCGCGCAGCGCATCCTCGTTCGGCGCGCCGACCCAAGGTGCAACAGCCTCAACCTTCTCGCCCGTCTGCTTGCTGGCGATGAAAGCCTCCTGTTCTTTGTTGAGTTCAGCGATCAGCCTCTGAAATGGAGAATTAATTCTGTGCCAGTGGTGGTTACGTGTGTCGCATATACAGGGAAATTGGCTCGGACAAAGGCGCGAATAAAGCGCGCGCGCGCACGCCTCGCTTTGGAAACCGCCGGTCGTTATTAACGCGAGGAGAGAGCTTATGGCACCGCACATCGTTGACGACGACAGCGGAAATAGCGCAGAGTTATACGCGATAGGTTTCACTTCGTTTCACCGAGAGCTTATTACTGTGCTAACATTCTACGATTTGCTGCCATCAATTCGTTCTCATTTGCAGGATATTAACGTGAATGTACATGATGTAAAGTCGCACGAGAACTTTATGTACTCCACTCTCATATAACGAGCTGCAGAAGCACATAAAACCCGGTTTGTATAAGTTAATATTTGTTTCTTAAAAAAAAAACCGGAATTTTTTAAGAAACAAATTTTTACATAAAATCTACATAAAATTCAGATTTTATTTAAAATATATCTTTTCATACGAAATGTCTTTTCATACGAAACATCACACACGAAAACGTTGCAGCGCGTCGAAGTAATTACTCTTGCACAAAGAGTGGGTTTTGCGAATTTATATATAAAAACCGAGAAAGTATGCAAATAAATGCAAAATTGGGTCAGATTTCTATTTCTTGCGAGGGTAATAATTACACTCGAATTATTGCACTCGAAAACCGCTATAATGGGTAACTTTCTTTTCCATTCAAACTTGGAAAGCAAAGGGGGAAAAAAGTTAAAAAAAAAAAAAAAAAAACGCAAATTGGAATAAAATAACGAATCCAACGTTTGAATGCAAAGAACGCGCGGCGGAAATGCGGAGGACCTCCTGCCTAATGCAGCGCGCGGATCGCGCCGGCGGGTTTCTTGTCCCTGCGATCGAGCGCGGATCAATGATGTAGCCGGATTCGCGTCGCAGGCGGTGCATTAGCCGCACAGCGGACAATATTCTATGCGGAACAGGAAACTACGGACAAAAGGATCGATAGCACAATTTTGTTCCTTGGCTGTGTTTCCGCCATCAAGCACAATGGAAACTTTCTTCTCGAGAAGAGGATTTTCTGCAGAGAATGTGTGTTGTCTTTTTTGTGCTTGCTTTTTTTTTTGTTTTACCACGTCATAAACCACATTTTATTGGTCGTTAGAAGCACGCACGTTTGTGATAAAAAAAAAAAAAAAAAAAAAAAGCAGCGCGATTTTCATTGCGTGTTGGCGTTCGAGTAAAAAAGAAGATATCGAAGAAACGTTTGTATTGATAAACGCAACAAAACGAATTGACGGCGCATGGAACGAACAGAAAAACGAACTCCTCGTAGATCAACGTGATTCGGATCTGAGACCATGTCGAGTTTTTACGAGCGAGCTTTTTCTCAGATTATCCGATTCCGATTATTTCCCGTTTGCAGCAGTCGCGGGAGAAAGGAGAGGAGGTGTGATTAACGAGGACGAGTTTTATTTATACCGGTGCAGGTGTCTATAAATCTTCTCCCGCGCACGATGAGCGCTCGCGCGAAGAAAGAAAGAAATGCCCGCTGTTTGCTTTCCGAAAAATTACATACACGCGCGCGCGTTTCTCTCGCTGTTTTTTTTAGAAATTGTAATAACAAAATACAAAAATCTCTCGGTCGAACGGATAAATCTCTTTTTCGCGCGCATATATACATACGCATATAAATGTAACATATCTCATATCCTATAAAAGTCAAAAGCGATTTACGATTACTTTTTTTCTCCGAGTTTTCTCTTCGCAAGTGTAGACTCGATCTATTTTTCACCGGATTTGCCGAGTGTTAAATTATTCGGAACGGCTGCTAATGATCACGGTTTTCTCTCACGCCATTTCGCATTAACGCGAACAACGTGCACTCACATTATCGATTTTTCGACACTTGCAATAAAGTTGTCTGTTCTCAAAGGAAGTTTACAACCGTATCGAATCGGCATAATTTCCAATTGACCGAAATACATTCATAGATCATTAAAAAATAACAAATACGTGAATATACAAATGAGCAAATAAAATTGGAACGTATTCGAGCTTTTAGAATCATCTCGCACGAAAAAAAAAAAAAAACAGCTTTTTGCCACAGCTAATCGCAGGTTGTTAAAATGGTATTTGCTGCTAAAAATTTTGCCACTACACATAAAAGCGGTTTGCTGCTGTTGCTAATATGTCTATGTAGCAGCGAAATACAGTGTCTGTCAAGTCATGTTGCTTAGCAACGTGAAAGTAGCTGTCCTATCTAATATGTGTGTGTGTGTGTCCACAGAAAAGAAAATTGTCTCCGCCAACAACTCCAACTCCATTGTTTGCTGAAATTGTATTTGCCACTACACTCGCAGCCACACAAAAAAATTAACTTAGCTGTCTGCCAACCTAAGCTAATAACGAGGTAGCGATTGAACGAATGATGCAATCTCTTGGTTGTGTGAACCGCGCGAATCGATCGGCGCCGAGCTCGTCTCGTCGTAATCGGAAACTGTGCACACACGTTCAAGTTATATTGTACACGACAAAAAATATCTTTGACGAAGAAATTCACATCTATATATATTTTTTACGATAATTGTTGTGTTTCGGTGCTATAGTGATTGTTATCCCCGCTGAATAATCTATTTGAGTCTATTACATACTCTTCTATGATTTATTTTTGTTTTTTTATTGTTTTTAAAAAAGTCTTTCATATATTCAATTTGTTTCAACATATTATGTATATTCATTGCTTACTGTAACAAGACTGAAGAAGACTTCAACAATAAAGTCAAAATGTTTTGTTCATTTAAAAACATTGTTTATTATTGCAATACATCATGCACTGGTTCGCATCAGCCGATTTACTTAACGTAACGTTTTGGAATAGCTATAACTGCCTTTTATACTGAAGTTTTAGCTACCATTGGTAAACTATTTTAGATGTGGCGTACACTTCGAGTCTACATCGTCATTTGTGTAAATTTCTCGGCACAGCAAAAAAAAAAAAACTATTATGTTCTAATTTATAGCCGTAACAGCTAAATAACGTGCGCGCGTTAAAACTAAATTGTTGTCACGTTGCCAGCTATTTTTCTCTGTTGCGTGCACCCCAGCTAAATTTTTGTATATCATAGTTACGAGTTTTTTAGCCACGAAAAGTGAATCTCAGTAGTTGGACGTTTAGGTCCGTCAACCGAAATTTACTTGCCAGACCTACTTTCTAGCTAATGTTTTTTTTTCACGCGAATTGACATCGTTATTTTATCCACAGTTTATGCTCGCTCGTCTAATTGTTATAATAAATAGTCACGCGAAGTCTCGGCACTTTCACTGCGCGAAATAAATTTTTCTCCGTTGTTTAGTCGATACGCGCGATTTCTGATGACGGTGCGACAATACGACAAATAAATTTATGAAGTGCCAATTGCCAGTAGCCGAGTGATTCTCGACAAACTGATCGTGTTTATATGTAGCTTCGAAATTGACTTCATCATCGACAAAATCGACACGTGCAATCGGCGTGTGACAGCGAACGAAATATCGGCGCAATCTCGAAACCAGAACAAGAAACGCCGTTACGAAGACTTACGAATGGGAGGAAGGAAGGAAACGTCATATGCTCAAGATATAGAATGCCACACGTTCATATATGAAACCGCAAGGGTGGCATGGGTTATTTTGTCTCTCGATAACATCGATATATTGACAACACACACACACACACACAAATACGTGTTCCATAAAAATTATACGTCATTATTTTTGACAAACAACTTTAAAGTAAGTAACTTTTTTTTTCAGAAGTAAAATTAAGATAAATAAATAATTAAAATTAAATTACAGAAACTAACTTGAAATTGAAAGTTTAACGTCACCGCAACTGCAAGACGGTCCGTCAATGACAGCCAACGATTTGTCATTAGCGCAAAGTCGTTTAAGTAAAACAAACGGAAGCTAAAGTGAGCGGCGAAGCCGTTTAATGAATCGATGTCAAAGAACTGCAAACTGTAATCGTTATACAAGTCTGAAATTAAACTCTCTCTTCGTCAGAAATTACACGACGGAAAAAGAATTCGTTCGCGTTCCACGTCATTATCAAACTTTTATCGCTAATTCGTCACGTTAAATTTTCGCCAAAGTGTTCCACGTCGATTCTGTACGCTTCATAATTTTGCAAATGTGTTTCGTAACGTGCCGAACGTCTTAATTAAAGTGAGTCAATATATATCGCTTTTCACGGTAGATAGAATTCATTCGCGATAAGAGAGAGAAATAAAAGTCGAGCGAGATGGAAGATCTCTGAAAGGGCATGGCATGTAACACGGCAAATCGATTTCTTAGCGGTTTGCTCGCAAACGAGACGACTGACGATTAATCGCTTTCTGACCGATCTTATCTCGCGAATCGGATCCTGCCGTGTTACGACAGATATCGTATTTTCATACCTTAATACGTCATTGCGGATTTGATTTATGACATCGACGTGTTCGGAAAACCGCGTTTCGACTTTATTGTATTGGAAGAAACTGGAAGAAAAGAGCTATATATAGCGCGCTCCTCTCCCTTCCGGTCAATTGGATCTCATAAGTCGATCTTCGCGGCGTGAAAAGTCTCGAGAAAGAAAAATGTAGAGTACGCACAGATATTAAATACTCTATTTTTGTACGACATTGGCGCCAGTAATCGAGTCGAGACGAGAGAGTAGAGTTTCGCAGCGAAAAAACTCTTCTTTTTTTCCACAAAATCGTATAATCTTATAATAGATATAATTAACGCAATACTGTGTTGCGTCGATAACAAGATCGAGAAAGAAAAAAGAATAAATCTTCGTTGAAAAACTCTTATTTAAAAAAAAAAAACCTAGTTGCTTTATTATTGAAGTGTTTACTCGTGGGCGTAACTCTCCGAGTGTGATATAAATTTTATCGCTTCTAATAATTCCTTGTGCTTCCAATCACCGAGGAAGCCGAAGGCGTTATTGAAGTCTCATTTTTCTCTTACTTTTCCTTTTGCAATG